TCAATTTATAGCTTTGCGGATACCAAGCACTCGTGTTAGGCCCAGGAGCGAAAGAAACTGGTCAAGTTGTAATGGGTTTCAAGGGCTCTCAACAGGTTCTGGCACCAAACCCGGCAACCTGCTCACGAGGACGTTTTGCCCACCTGCCCACAACTTAATATGGAACCCAAAAATAAAAGAGATTTCTTAGAAGGAGATTGCTCCACTCATGAGGTCTGATTGTGTTTCATCTAATTCTGTAGGGGGTATACCCCAAAGCCGCCCCCTGCCCTTTCTATGGCGAGCCAGAGACTGTATTGCCTCACTCGTCAGCCAACCTTTTGAGCTAGGTTGTCTTTCCGGCTTGTGCTTTTTAGTCAAGGTTCCACAAGGTTCAGCTTTTATCTCCAGATCCTGGCAGCAAGTTCCATCCCTGGAGCTCAGGAGCTTAAGGATCCTTCGAGTTGGCCCAGGAGAACTTCCTTTCCGGGGATCTTTCTTTTAGAAATTTCCAACAATGAAAAACCTGGGGGTGCCTTGGCTTGAAAAGAACGAGGATGAAGGTGAGGGACTCAAGCCCCCGAAAAAGAGGGCACTTGGATGAGGTTTCGCCACGTCAGGTGCTGCTTTCGGTTCATATACGCCCCCCATTCCGTAGGGTTGACGAGAACTGGGGAGAAAAACCACTTCAGCGGGGTGGTCACCCAGGCAGGAGATCACCAGAGAAGATCCCGATGGCAAGGTCTTGTACAGCTCCAGCTTTGCCAAACGTGACAGTGGCTCCCGAGTCTTTTCTGGGAGACCTGGTACTGGTTGATTGGGGATAGACTACGGGGAGCCCAAATCGGGTGGTTTCTCTAAATCCAATACTGATTCAGAGCAAGAAGAGCCATGCCTTGAAGACGCGGTCAGGGCGAACAAGCCCCCATTCCATAAGGTTGATCCTACGTATAACACACTTACGGGACTCTGAAGTCCACCAGAAATACCGGTGGCTCAAACGTCTACAGCTCCTACGGCTTTGCTAGAAGCGACAGATGGCTCCCCAATCTTAGCAAGAGCTACCAGAGGTTCGTTGCAGACCTGGTACTGGTTTATTGGATAAAGAATAAGTGTGGCCTTACCATGCCCCAAGCTTTACTTTTTTTTGTGGCTCCGTGGATTGCAAGACCTTACCTCAGTCATGAATGATTAGGGCTGTTTCAAATGCATCCTTCGTATGTGTATTGAGGGGATCACATATTGAGCCTGAAAAACCGGCGGTTGCTCACCCGAAAAAATAACTAAATATCGCATCCCCATATGAGGCCTCCCATCGAAGGGATAAGGTTCATTGGCTTTCGGAGTCTTTTTCAGTTCAAATTGATTCAAATCGGGTTCCATCTCAAGTGGTGCTTTTGATTTTGTCCACAGTATGTTTCTGAATTGTTTGAAACACCGGGACAAGAAACATGTAAGATCGTGAAAGAATGCGCATGGGCCAATAGGAGAGATCTCGCTGGAACCTGCGGTTGGACAACAGCCACGCCGATCGGTACGTGGGATGGCTGTATTCCGAATTACGGGTGTTTCTACCCCCCCCCCCCGCATATCTCCAGGTGGTTGGTTTCCGTTGGTTTCTCTTCAAACTATCCAACAAGCCTTTGACCCGGGAAAACGTAACACCGCCTATGACCTACCAACTGGCGAATTTGATTTTGGCTGTCAGGGTGCGATTTGAATAGCCTGGTGTTTTCTGACATGGCCTGCTTGCAATCGTGTCAGGCGCCCGAGCAGCTGTCAATCGAGGCACGTTGCTTTGGTGCCCCCCCATTCCCTGGAACATCTGCCCACTTTGTTCAACTTGTCCCCTCCAGAAAACAAAAACCCTCCCCCCAATCGAAAACCCAACCCACTGTTTCCATTCCCGGCCTTGCAACTTGCAACGCGGTTCTCAATGGTTGCGTTTACCATGAAGGACCTGTGCATTGATATAATTTACACAATTTACGTGTTTGATTTTAAGAAAGGTTTGTTTTACCAAGGCCCCGCGTTTGTTGTTGCAACAAGCAGTCCTGTAGATGGCTCACTTATGGTTGTTGTTTTTTTTTAGCATTGCCTCAAAGGGTGAATGTGGTTGTCTGCAGATACATTTCTGGTTTCTAGAAGTTCACGGATCAAGCACGCAGAAATGGCTTCATCGTAAGCGAATTACCAAGGGGACAATGGCCGTCATCAAGTCCAACCAGGTTGTCAAATTTGGCTGCGAAGGTCGGCAGTTCCCATAGTTGTCAGAGGCCACCCAAAGAGTGACAAAAGAAGCCACCCAAAAGGAACTGTACTCGCTCCTAATAGGGCCTATCAGTCACCATTGGCCCCTGTTGGGATTGGGGGGGGGGCCTGTTGGGCGGCGCCTCGACAACAATAGGCTTTTGCGATGTTGCGAGCAGATGGATGGCCAGCACCTGCGTGACTGGGTGAGAATGGACGGGCAGACTGGCAAGGGCATCCGCTTCGGGCTGAAATGGAGTTAATGTGTCAAGCAATGCACAGCATCAATTGGGATTCCAATTTCATGTGCAAGGGGTGCGCATTGCTAGGAGAAGATTGAGAAGGCTCCGGAGTCTCCTCAAAGCGCGAGTCACGTTCCGGCACTCAGATGAGACGTTGGAACCTGTTTGATGACAGACTGTTGCCACATGTGTGGGGACCCTCGTTAAGGTGGGTTTTAATGGAAAGCAAAAGGAAACCCACCTCTTATTTGGGGTAACCCCCCCACACACAAGGTTTTGCACTTACCCATTTTGATCCGGCGCCTAGTTGATTTGTGTGCCGCCTGGTCTTTTGCGTCTCAAGAGAGCCGTGCATCGGCACCCGGTGCTTGCTGATCAGTGAGGAATGAAGAGGGAACTTGGGAAATCCGGAGATCGCCTAGGACAGCACCTGGTTCAGCTCGGGCCTCAAACGCCAACAGTATGTTTCTCAAAATGGTTCCCTACAGTTGGTTTCCTCATGGCGAGAGGGAGGAGGCCCAAAGAAGCCCTCTCCCCCTCCGCCCCCCCAGCCCACCCCATGGTTTCCTGATTTCCCTTTAAAAAAGTGGGTCCGAATCTCGCTAGAATCCAAAGGGCGGTGCTCAGATTGTTGCATTGAGGTCAGCGAGCTTGACCAGTCGACGCCCTTGGGTGAAAGGCGTCAGTGGGGGCTCGGGCGGGACTGGGGGGAGGGCGGCTATTCGAAGGGACTTTGTGTTGGTGGTTTTGCGGGTTGTTTTGTGCTTGTGTCTTGCTTTGGGTTGTCGGGCGTTTCTCACCCAATTTGGGGGAGGAGGGTTGCGGGCCCCAACCAATAAAGCAACAGCGGCCATTTTGAAAGGTTCTTAGGAGCCAGCCCAGCTTGAATGGAAGAAGCGATTCTTTCCAACACGCGGAGGCCTTACGCGATATTGCCAGTTCAATGGAGATTCCAAAGGTGCTAACATCCTTCGCGTGCCACCAAAACGTAGAGGTAAGAATGGGTGCGTCAAGTTATGTCAATTTGTGTTGGGCGACCCCCAAAAAGGTTGGTTTCCTCTCGGCGTTAAAACCAACCAAAAGAGTCCCTACAAAAGAGCCACACCCACCGGCTACCAGAGCCGCGGATTTGGGCTTCCGCTGGTCAGGCTGGGTGCGCTGGGTCTTCAGCCTTCCTTGGCTGGGCACTGAGACAGCAGCGGGTCCCTCGGTTACCCTCCTGGATCTACGCAAGTGGCATGGGAAGCCATCAGCTGATTGGGCAGAAGGGGACCCGAAGGAGGGTCCCTCGGTTCCTGGACCTGCACAAGTGGCAAAAGCCATCAGCAGAAGGGGTTGCTGCCTTTAGCTGCCTGGAGATATGTAGTTGCATGATGACTCGAGGCCAGCACACTTGGCGGTTGCTCAAAAGGTCCGTGATGGGATGACCATTGTGGAAAACGGCCAAAAAGATGATATGTCCCACTAAATGAGAACAGTTACCCTTGGTCCTTTGGGTTTCCCAGGAATATTGACACTTACATAACAGTGGGTTGCCTTTCGACCAGCCAAAGTTTGCTCTCAGGTGTCCCCCTCTGGCGGGATCACCTTCGGGAAAGATGGGTCTGGCTGGCGGGACTTGCGACATTTTCGCGCGAGCAGGGAGTCGTTTGGCACACGAGCAGAACCCCAAAATGATGGGAATTCCTGAAAAGCGCTTGGAGTCCCCACCTGAGCCACAATTAAATTAAAACCTGGGTAGATGAAGGTTAGTGAGGTCCCAGTGATAGATCGGTGCCGCCGCCTTTTGAATTGCCTTACTTGGATTTTGGTAGACCATTTTAGTACCAGGTTTCGTTTGTGACCCACCTCAATTTGTATGGCGTTTCTTTTTTTGAGATGTACACAAGTTATATGGACTCGCAGGGTGTTGTCCATCCAGCGGCAGTCTTTTCCATGTTTATAGTCAAGGCCCTGGTTCTTCGCCCGGCGGTAGCAAATGGGTTTCTTATCTTTGGAGTAATGGCACCCTTTGCAATGCGGTGTTAAGGGAAGCCAAAAGAGGGAGGCCCGTTTCGGGTTCCATTATAACCCCAACTGCACCATCCTCAACCATGAAGAGGTCTCAATTGTTTTTTTTTTTTTTTTATTGCTTTCGGTAGGCTCCATTGATATCAGGTTGCTATCTTTCGCCATGTATACCAAAGAAAATCCTACACATGTCGGGGGGGTTCTCAGCATTTGCAGACACTCGGAGAAATCTCGCCTTGGCCGGGACTGTGAACCCCTTGTTTGCCCCTTGGGATCCCGGGTTTGAGAAACCTGTGCAACTATATATCGGCTGTTAGCACAAAGAAGTGGCGAGAGAGTGAGAAGCGGACAAGGCATGCTGTGAAAGGCTGGCGGAGTCCAGCTTGATTTGAGGTTCAAAACATGTGCAAGCTTCAGGGATTGTAAAGAGGGATATTTGTTGGTGTGAATCTTGGATGGCACGGCCAGCTACAGATACAAGGCATCAGACGCAGGACTGTGTGCAGGTACCTCGAAACAAAGGCGCTGGCTCAAAGGAGCAAACGAGTTGCGTGTCCATTTGGAGACACCAGTTTTGCCCAGACTTCTCGCCCAATGAGCGTCGCTTTCCTCAGCTTCGGCCGCGCGGTGGCGCCCCTTGCCCGGCCGAACGCCGCGGCAAGTGCCGCGCGGCCGGCTGCGGCCGCGGCCGCGGCGTCCGAAGCGCGGCGCGGCGCCGGCGGAGCCTTGGGCGCTGGGCTGGGGATTTGCGCGGCTTTGGCGCAGGTGCCGTGGGAATCGGCCAGTAACCTCAGCTCATTGCAACTAACCTTCTGTTTGTTGGTAAGTAACCTTCTGACATCTCCATTTTTTGTTGGCTAGCTGCCAACTGAGTTGGTCCTTTTGTTGTGTGGTCTCCTCTTAAGGCAAACGGGTAGATACCTTCTCGGAGACTTGGTGACAAAGTAGCTGGAACACCTGAGTGCTCAAACCAGCCAAAAAGGGTGCCGTCTTTCTTCTTTTTTCCGGGGGGCCATTGCAGTCCTAGGAATTTGCACATGGGGCAGACCCCCAAATACTCGCGGGCAAGACATGAAGATCCTGGGATTGCCTTGCGACCTAATCCAAAGGTCCCTGCCATATCCCAATAATGCTGAATGAGAGATTGGCTACTTGCCTAGCCCAGTGAACCCCGAAAAAGAACCCGACCTGCTCATCACCTAGCCAATGTACCCTTGGCGAGGCTGATTTCAGGGGAAACCAAAGGGAACCCACACATTTGTTGGGTACTTCTATTTGGACACATACGCCAATGTGAGTTTCCAGATAGGAGGTGCCAAGTCTTTGGTGCATTCCGAAAACCGCAAGCTTTCCGAACGGAGCCCTGAAACCCCAAGCCTCACTGGGAGCCTTTCGACATATTTGCCCTCGCACCAATTGACATGGAACCTGAAAGGGAGTCCCTTTAAAAGGAGAATGGTCTTCCAGAACCCCCCCGCCCTGTCAAGTTCCATGTTCATTGTTGGGAGGGTATATACTTGATTTCCCCATGGCTTTCGAGGTTCCAGGTAAAATCTGCAGAGGTCCTATGAAGGCCTCAATAGGTTGAGTAGGGGTTGTGGGGTACAATTCGATCCAGCTACGTCAAGTGAGAGACATATTTTGAATTGCGCCCGTTTTCTGGTGGGCTTTTTCGGATGGTTTCAACGCAAAATGAAAAGCAAAGCCACCATTTCGGGAACCGTGCCGCGCATGTTACCTGCCGCAGCGCGAGGCGGCCACAGGCCGAGGTCGCTCGAGGCGGTTGCTCCATGGTTCCCGGGTGGCCATGGGTGGCTCGATTCGGATGATCTCCAAAGAGGAGAAAACCGTTTCCTGCCGAACGAATCGCGGCCGTTTTGCGGTGGGAGGTGGGGGGTGGGGGATGGGGGGTGGGGGGTGGGAGGTGCGGGGCGGACACGGGGCGGACATGGCTGCGCCATACCGTGATCGCTTGATTCCAGCATGGCCGGAACTGAGGAGACGGCAAAAATGGGCTCAATGGAGACTGCGACTTCGTTCAGGGGTCCTTGGTTGTGGTCCCTTTTGGACATTTGGAAGTGTATTTCCTTTGTGCCATGTCGAAAGGAGCACCTGTAGCAAGGGGGATGGCATTGGGCACACTCAAATGCAACAGAAATGGAAAGGGTGTCAGTCGCGGAGGGAGTGTCTCAAACTGTCACCCCAACATCGGTTGATTCCCATTGCGTTCCCATCAAGATGATGCCAAACAAGTACCAACCTAATTCACCTGGAGCCATGCCCCTCAAACCCCGCTTTCCGCTGAAACAAGACGGCCTTGGAGGAAACTAGAAAACACATGGGGAGAGAAGTTGGGCCCCACAGGGTCCAAGAGAGGGCCTCAAGTTCCTTCCACATCCCAACCTCTTTTGGGCCTCTTTTCAGGGGCCCAAGATCCATCAAACGCAACAGCGCGACACCGGGCGCAGCAAGAAGAAGCTCCTCTTGTGTTGTTGGGAACAGGCTGTTCCAAGCACGACCCATGTTTTATTGGGACCCTAGATTTCCAACCCGTTTTTTGTTTGATCTCCGATTTACCTGGCTTATGAACCCGGAATTCCAACCTGGTTCAGCATTTTGTTTTCACAGACACATTTTTTGGTTTTGCTTCTCAAAGACACACGCGTTTCAACCATGTTCGGCTTTTGAAACCCCCATTTCAGCCTTGGGTTCATGTTCATGGGCCAAAGAGCTGCGATTTGTCTCAGGAGGCGCTTCCCGGGCGACAAGAGGAGCTGCGCATCTCCGAGAAGCACTACGTCTTGGGGACCCCCATGAAGGGTCCCTGGCCTGAGGCCCCGAACCCTTGATTTGTTTTGTGAAGTGGGAAACTGGACCGGTTGCTTGGCGACCTTCCAGCGAATCCTCCGGTTCCTTAGTCTGTTTCCAAAAAAAAGTTTGTTTGGCTTTGTGGGGCGTTTCCATTTAACCCACTTAAAGTTAACTTTTAGCAGATCGCAACACAACGGCTCTTATTATG